AGGCCCATCTGGCATTACTGGTACTGTAGCCCCCCGGTCTTTGGAGTTGGGCGAATCCGATGATTCGGATTCGAGGTCAAGTACGCGCAGATGGACAACGACGGCAACTGCAGCTTGCCAGAAGCCTTGTATTCGGCACCTCCTGGAAACTAGCACAAAGCGCAACTCAGCCCCAAGCTAGTCACTATGCTGTTATGATCTCTTATGGATTTATGGGTTTTGGGGTTAGCATATCAAGCAACAAAATGGCCTTCATGTTTAGAGTAGAGTAGCGGTTGGTGCTTTTTTTAAGGTGTATACACATAAGGATCGAGGTGGGGGTTATTGCTAACTGTTGCAACCCTTCTGTTGCCGGCTTCAGAATTCAGGGTTTCGGGGTTTGGGGCCAGGGGTTCATGTAGGGCCGCCTGGCATGCAGACGCAGTTGGAGCAGGTTAATAGGAGCCCTGAGTCTGTATCTAACATTGGAGCTCGTGGGGGGGGGGGGTCGGAAATCGTGCTTCGAGTGGTTTAGCCTGGCACCACGACAACTGGTAACAGATGGCATGTGCTTACATGCTTTGCAAGGAAAAACGTCTACCATGCAAGCTGCGCCCCGGTGTAGTACCCCAATAGTACCCGCATAGAAGCCCTTAATTTACAGATCCTCTATCTATCTATCTATCTATCTATCTATCTATCTATATATATATATATAAGGAACCCCAGGGACTTTTGGGGCTGAACGTGTCACCGCCCTGGCCAAGGCCTCGTTGACTTCAAGGAGTATGCGCTTCTGCTGGACTTCATGACCTCACCACCTCTGATTAGCTATTGCTGCTTCCCCGCTCCTCCTCCTCCTGCTCCTCCTCCTCCTCCTCCTCCTTCGCCTCTTTTTTAACAAGAACGTCTGCCTGTTCCTCCCACTACATGTTTTCGATCATCAAAGTACGTACTTCTGCCATGCCGACGGCGCGCTGCCCATGTTTTCGGTGCTTGTGTCGTGGCTATGTTGAATTCTTCGGCTGCGCCCTACGGAAGCGACTGGCCACAGTTGCTTCAGCAGTGTTTCGCCCTCCCCCATATGCACCTGTTCGTCAAACCCAGCTATCCCGTTGAACATACATCCGGTGATTACCCTTAAACCCTAAACTCTATAAACCCTAAACCCTCAAAGGCCCTAAACCCTAGCGTGCTTTTCAGCTCGAACGTCTTGGAGTGGGAGTTGTCCGTGAGAGTGTCTTGTTCCTTCTCCCTGGAAGCGCCATTGAATCTTGTAGAATCCTGAAGCCTTGAAAAGACCCCGCCCTTCCATGTCGTTACATGGGAACTGGAGCTCTGAACCTAAATAATATGACTTTGTGGAGGTAGCTCCTATTGGGACAAGCCCTAGACCCCTTGACCCTAACCCAGCTCCGATATTCCTGCTACCACCTGCTCCGGATTTTGGATTTAGGCTTGGGCTCTAAGGGTTTAGTTTTCAGGCTTTGTTTGGGGTCAGGGTGTGGGACGACATCCCATTAACCGTCGTGCTTGAATTCTTCAGGCCACGCCACAGGCAGCAAAGCCGCTGTGTAAAGATTGCTTCCAGAAGCGTGACGCAACAGAGCGGAGGACCCTTAACCCTAGCTTACCGCAACTTCTGCAGCATCTACCAGAAGCTGCGTGTTAAACCATCTGTTGGAGGGCTCTTAAGCCGAACTTACCTACCCACACCAAACCCTTAATCCGTAAACCCTGTCCTAAAAAGAACCCTGCGACAGCCAAAAAGCTTTCTTCCTCCCTCAACCTAAACCCTCCAACCCCACCTGCTGTTTAGGGTTAGGGTTAAAACCCCTTAAGCCCTGTACCCTGAGACCCCTGTAAGCGCGCAACAGCCCTATAAGCCCCAGGTGCGTTGGTGTCAGGGTGCCAGTTGGTCCGAGCATCTCTTAGTGCGCGACGAGCGAGACCCTCGTCTCACATTTAAAGCTTTCGGCGAAGATCGGGCTCAGGCTTTCGGATCGGAGGGTGGTGGGTTCAATTCAGGATATTACTTGAGATTCTTCGGCTGTAGCCTAAGAGGTTCCATCAAGTTCGGGCCTTAGAGACGGTCTACGTGTCTCTCAAGGCGGGCCAAGCCCTGACATGCGGCTAGAACTTAATCCGTTAAGGTCTATAGGCCTATAGGGTTCACCAAAAAGTGTTCAGGTTTCCGTCAGTTAAAGCCAATGAGATCTACTGCTTTATAAAAGAAGTATCGCTTCCGACATGCGAATCATGACACCCGCCTCGCCTGGAGGAGACCCAGTGTGAGTGCCGAAATGGTTAAACGCCCTTGACTCCAATCGCCTGCCTCCCTAAACCCCTAAGCCCCTAAACCCCTAAAGCCTTATAAACCCTTAACCCCTAAACCCCTAAACCCTAAACCGGAGTCGATTCAAACCATCCAGCGTGAAGCCCTGGAGCGTCAGCATCCAAAAGCCATAGCCCCTGGGTCCAGTTTTTGGGTTTAGGGTTTACGGACCTTTTGATTTAAGCAAAGACCGTTGTGAACCCTAGAACCCCTCACCGAAACCTGCGGCAATGATCTGAGGATCGGGAATCCCGGAAGCTATCCCGGAAGCTGGGCAGCCCACTTGCATTCAAGGACTTCTCGGAAATTTCCCTATGTACCAGGGTTCCAATAGTAAGCCCTCATGTTGGCTCGTAAAATCGCCAGGATTGGCCGTACTTAGCCTTGCGCATCTCGCCACGAGTGCGATGTCCTGCACGGGACTTGGCCGGGCGAGCTCAATTCAAGCCTGTGGAAAAAAGGCCCTCATATTAGGGTTTGGGCTCAATGTGTGTGTTTTTGCATGATTGCACCCTACCATCTAGGCCCTAAATCGTTGATGATGTAAAGCCCGAACCTTGAACCCTACGGACAAACCTGAAAAGTATACAGAGAGACATTGAGCTCTGTCCTTATTCATTGATTCATTTGTTGACCACTGTGTATTTACTTGTTCATATTGTTTACTCGACGTGCGGCTTTGAATATACTATGGATCCTCGAACACTAAACTTTGTACAAATCCGAAATCGTGATGAACCTCAAAGCCTGCAGAGAGAAGCCTTACAGTGACTTTGTCCAAGCATTGCCATAAAGATCCGAAGCCCTCGCGAGCCTAAACTCTATATATTCCTGGAGCCCTAAGCCCTAAACTCTTAAACTACACTCTATACTCCGGGAGCCCTGAACCCTAAACCCTAAATGAAACTCTATATTCCGGAGCCCTATAACCTTAAACTAAACTCTATATATTTCCAGGAACCCTGAGACTCTGAGGTATCCACCTACTAGACATCGAGCGGCTTCGCCGCCTCTTCGACATCTACGATGTGGCAGCTTGGCCATGGCTGATCGGATTGTCAGTAGTAGTAGTAGTAGTACAGCCATTGTTACACTTGCTATTCTGATTCTCACTCTCCTTATTGTTATATGTCTTATTATTCTGTGTTCCTCCTCTTATTGTTATTATTTCGGAATTTACGGTTCTGGGTTGTAGGTTTGTGTTTGCGGTGCATGGTTGATAGGACCATGCCACACGCTCGTGTCACTGTTGCTGTTAGCCTGAGTCAGAGCTTGATCAGGACATTTATGCATTGCCTGGCTTGATGATAGTGTCCTTCCAGTGCCGGTTGGAACTGTGATGGTGCTTTATTGTCTGTTGAAGCTATTCGTGTGGTCATCCTTGTTCCCACTCTCGCTGCTACGTTGGTTTGGCTCCAACTCAACAGGTAGCCGAATACCCCTGAAGCAAGGAACCCCCCTCAAACCACAATCTATTGCAAAGCCTCTATAAGTGAAGGAACATGCCTCTGCTCCTGTTTGAATAGCACTTGAACCATAATAAGAAGGTCCGAATATTCTTCGAGCAATTGGTCTTTCTTTCCCTCGGCTGTACACCCGGACGCTAAACCCTAAACCCTGGACAAACTACATCGTACCGAACTTAGCTCCCAACTCCAGGTCCCGCCCTTTTCAGAGAACTCCCCCCGGTCCCCCCCGGCACTGGTCTCAGGTCAGCACTACCATTTACCTGAAGGGTCATATCCCCACGTTTTTTAGAGTATTTGGGGCACAAGATGGTGTAAGGGCCCATGTAACATGTAGATCGGATACACTTCGGCCCTGAACCCGCAGCCTTGCATGCTACTCTCGATCGAGCCTTGCAGCACCTGCAGGGTTTAGGGTGCATAGGCCCTCAGCCCCAAATCCCCAAACCTATACCTATAACCCTAAACCTTCAACCCCCCCTAATTTTCCTCTCGCAAACCCAACCGTAAATCCCAATCCCACAGGACTATAGGTCCTAAAACCCAGAATTCGGAGCCGTCAGCTGTCGGGCGCCCCGATCCCGAAGCGACAGGAGAAGAGGCGTGTGATCACGCAAGAGGTGTCGGGTTCTCGGCGTGCTCACAAGCTCAGGGTTAGGGTTTAGTGGCTTCAAGTTAAGGTTTTACGAGGTTTATTCTAATGTGCCCCAAAGCATTCGGCGAAACCTGTCTTCCGCCTCATTTCTGGGTTCCGCTTCAGCTTTGGAGAGTCGGCAACGATTCTGATTGGGACTACAAGGAGATCCACGGTTCTGATTGAGACTGGAGTAAAGAGCCAAACTTCGCCTTCAGAGTGGGAGATACATGTGAGGCTTGGCTTGGCAATAACAAACAGGGCCAGGATCTGAATCGAGGCTGTGAAAGCGAACGAGAGTTCTGATGGAGAGGGGAGGAGAGGGCAAGGGTACTGATGAGACTAGACAACCAAATCGACTTGAGGTCCATCGTTTGTTTTCCAGCTTTGCCCCATCTTTCGAGTCTCAGGCCGTTTCGGCCACCCCATGAATCTCTGGCCTGTTGGCCACCCCGAAAGCCCAGTGTTGCTAGAGCTGTCTTGTCACTGGCACCTATGATGGTGTGGTGCAACATCGATCTGTGCACAATTGGTTTGGAACCAGTTAAATACAGCATTGTGCGTGTTCAGAAAAAGATCAATGCATTCACCCGGTTCTGCGACGCTTGGCCTTCGGCAAGCTGTCGCGCCATCCCTCCAAAAACTTCCAACAGATGAAATATGCTTGCCCTTGTGAGCGCTCAGAAGCTGAGATGTCTCTGCTGGATGTGAGGCCTTCGCGTATCGGTGCCGTAACCTCTGGATTGTAGCTCGCACTGCAAGAAGCCCTGGGTGGGAGAATGTAGGTTCACGCAAAACAAGTGAGGTGGCCATAGATGCTCATAACTGCTATTGCAAGCCTAGGCTCTTTCCAAGATACTCCGCATCGCTCGGAAGTTTTGCTTGGAAGTGCGGAAGGACTGAACAACGGTGCACGACGTGCACCATACTGCACCCGTCGGGAAGCGGAAAGCGCTCCAGCAGTTCAGCCGGAAGTGCTTGCGCTTTCGAGAGCAACCGGCGGGATTCTCGATGCACAGGCCCATCAGGCTGAGTTGCACCGGGATCATCACTCCCCGAAGCCTGCTCCGGCCTTTGATTGGCGCCAGCATCTGCTTCTGCTGCCACGCTCGCAGCCGCAGCCTTGCACGCAGCTTTTCTACCATCACGTCCCCTCTATGGAAAATGACTGTATGATGTTGCATACCCTGTCAAACACGACTTGGGGGGCTGACCGACTCGTCAACTAGTCGCTCCTGCTTATCCTCTTCCTCAACTTGGCGAAGCAGCTCACTGCAGGCCATCATTGCCGGATCCTCACGGAGGACGTCCCAGTTCGCCTTGCAAGGCGAAGCACACACACATGAGGATCTGAATCTTCATGCTAAATCACCGCCGACGCATGTGCGAGATGGCCTGTTCGTCCTCATCATCGACGGGCTCGGGTTCATCATCACGTTTGGCTTTCTTCTTACGTTTTGCCTCTTGTGTGCTCAAGATGTCCTCCACCCTGTTGCGCTCTGCTTCGCTTGTTTGGCTTCTCACTTCGTCGGTCCGCATGAGGCCACGGATCTTGTTAGCATTGGTGCTGCTTTTCGGCATCGAGACCCCGTACGCCGTTAGCAGGGCGGCGAGATCACTCGCTGTCAACTTCATGATACCTGTCGAACGGACCAGCCAGGCGAGCAAGGTCCATGAGTTCCGGGACCTGCGAAAAAGGAGAGCTTGACCTGTTTCTCTTTCCACCATAGCATCCGTCACGTGCAGCGAGTATGCAAAAACCTTCACCTCAGGGTGTATCTCAGAAGTCTTTCGAGAGAAAGTATTTTCCACGGAGCACACAAGACCATCCAACAAGGGCCTCACGGCAGTTTGGCAAAGACCGGTACTCGAGCAATTTCCTGGGACATAGCCACACAAACTCACTCTTCGCACGCCGACTACCCATCAACATGCAGGCCAAGGTCTCACCCATGTCCAAGATCAAAGCTGGCACAGCCTCCCTGGACTCCAAGGGGTCCTGGAAGTTTTTCGTGTCTCCCACCGGCACACGTGCCTCGTCGCTCTGCAAGCGCGGCAAAGGCCCACGAAACTCACAAGGAAGCTCACGCAGTCGCCATGCCTTGGCAGCATCAGTGCACAATAAATCACTGGCTGACAAGCCTGCTGCACGTGCCTTTTCCAGCCTGGCCACATATGCAAGCCCTGGGCAGGCGCCCGAGCAGATGTAGTAGACATTGCCAATGGCAATGAGCATGCCTCGCTGGAGCAAGGGGCCTACCCAGAAGTCGCCGACGGCACGCCGGAGATCAATGCCTTGCCTAGGCCGCAACCAACAAAGGCAATTGTCCGTTCCTCCTTTCGCTGCACCTCTCTCTCTCTCTCTCTCTCTTGTTCTTGCTCTCTCGCACTCCCTTTCTCTCTCCTTTTCAGCCTGCTGTATTCGAAAATGTTTCTTGTTTGCACTCAAACCGTGAAGTGTTCTAACTGCATCTAGCAGTGGACAAATATGTATTTGTTTATATTTTTGTTTATCGAGAAATCTAGCTCTATAATTGTACATGGAGTTTTGCTGGGGGCCTATACAGCTTTCATGATCCATGCTGCATGCTATTGAACTTTTCTCTATGATCATGATGCCGCCTAGGGGCGCTGCTGCTGCTGCAGAAATGGGGCATTTCCAAGCACAGCAGAACCTTCGCCACCACAGGCAGATTCGAACTCCGGCTCCAGCTGCTTCTTTATATCTGCAGTGGCAGTGGCATTTGCCTCTGCAGGCGGCCTCGGCACATCTTCTGAGCCAGCATATGCGACATCGGGAGGGGCAGGCGCCGAAGGAGGTGGCGGCGGCACGGTCGTCGTCGACGGTGGTGGGGAAACCTCAGCTCAAGTTTACTTATAATGTTTGCATTCGCGCGGTGCAGACAACGAAAAGACGCCATGCATGCTCGTAACTGCCACGAAGCATCCACCTGTGTTTCCATTGTGTCCATGAAACTTGCTGTACCCTCGGACAGCCCCTTCAAAGGGTCCCGCTGTTCGATGTCCTTAGCTGCCACCCATTCTTCAAACAGCTCCAGTTCCATCGCCACGTTGGCTTCGTCCTGGCCCCACTGATCGACACCAACACCGATAGCCTCGCAAAAGGCCTGGAAGAGTGGGTGCGCCACCATTCGGGCACGTGCCGTCTCGGCCGTAGTCTTTGCCTTCTGGCAGTCGTCCAGCCACAGCAAGAAGGAGGCCTTGTCCGCCACCACACGGTCTATGTAGGTGAAGACCTCATGTGCCAACAAATGCATGCTCATTGATTTCGGCTTGAAATGCAAACATGCAGAGTCATGACAGTGAAGAAACGAACACTTTAGATTCAAAACCGCGCACCTCCAAGCCCAGGCTCTTTGTGTACGCACGGTACTCCTCGAAACGTGGGTGGGCACGGCACTCCTGATTCAGATCGAAGCAAAACCCAAAACGCATGCAGCCAAACGAGCTGGTGCGGCCCAAGCAGCATGAAATATACTCCACCATTGCTGGCTATAATCATACGGCGGAGCCTGCAAGCACTTTTTCCGTGCATACAACATGCTATGTACAGCGCTTCCATGAATGCAAGAAGATAACGATCCGCGGGCCTTGGGGGATGGCGAAGCCGAAGGAGCTGCCATTGCGACCGCAACCAGCTCTATGTCTGAATCTGAATCGGATTCAATTTCCCATACTTCTGTGCTGAACAGCACTCTTAGCTGCTCTTTCTTCTCCTTCTTCACAACCTGGCTTTGCTCCTGTTTAACTGCTTTTGCTTTCGCCTTCTTGCTCAAGGTGGGCCGAAGCCTTCGTGGGTTGACCTGCAAGACGGCTCGCAGCTTCAAAGCAGCCTCAATGTCACACGTGCATACATGTCGAAGCCACGCTGTCATGCGCACTGCGAAAGCACATGCGAACACGAATCAGTGAGGCAAGACGTGTTGAGGCGCATCTGTTCCACTTTGTCTGGCCAGGCTCTTTCTCCAATATCTTCGGGCATACGACAGAAGACCAAACAACGTATCTGTCTCCTCAGGTGTGCACGAAAACTACGCATCCCTTGGCCCAGCATGCATGCATGTTCTATTGCGGCTGAGCAACACCTTTGGACCATTGCCTCTTCTCCTTGCATGTTCTAGCCTGGCTCAGGTGGAACTGGCTCTCTTCATCCATCTTCAGAAATACCAGTTGGAGATCTGTCATGCAAAACTCACCTTAGCCCAGCTGAAGCCGTCAAGAATGCAAGGCGGCCACAAAAGCTCCGAATCAAGTCAAGAAACCTTCCGGGGATAATTGGAAGAGCGCAAGGATTAAGTCCATATATTTTTCCATGTCGTCGAACACGATGCAGCATGGATTCCCAACATCGTGGAACAGGGTGTTGCAAGGCTTCTCTGTGCGAGCACAACGCAGAAACGCACTACCAGGGAGAAACGTCTTGAGAGCACCTTTGCATAATGATGCTCAAGAGATGCGCTCGCAGACTATGCTGCATAAACACGATGTCTATATCGATCAAGGCACTGCCAATTTTCTCAGCGTCCACTCTCGGCATGGCTGCATTCGAACCACCAACACATCTGTGTGCTTATGTTTGTCTTGTTGGAGACCTTCTTGCATGCCTCTCTCTCTCTCCCTCTCTCTCACTCTCTCTCTCTCTGGCTCTCTCTTCTCCTTTGATCATGTCTTTTCGGATCACATACAGGAGCCATAGAGGCATGTGGTGGAAGCATGCCGTGCGCACAGAATCCGAAACTGCAACATGCACAAAGCGACGTTCGGTCCTCGATTGATCCCGCGGGTCATGATCTCCCATGGAGCGATGGCGCTCTTGCGCCAGCATCATGCCAAGTCTACGATCTTATAAGTCAGAAAAGACATGGATTGACGATGTGTCATGCTTCGTGTGCAACATCGCACTCTTGGCACTTGGCTTTTCGGGCCCTACATGGCTGATATCACGACCCTTGGCCACGAAATCCCAAGCCCCAGACCCTTCCCCCACAAACCCCGACCCTTAGCCCAGAAAGCCCCGGGAGCCTTAGGGTAAACCCTATAAGCCCCATAAACCCTATAAGCCCCATAAACCCTATAAACCCTATAAACCCTATGGGTGTTGGTCAGCATCGAGGTCAGACTTCAGCCTTCACAGCGCCCAGAAAGCCTCCAACTCGAATCAACTTGAGGGTCCCTTATCAATCATTGTATCTGTAGTCATAGGGTTATAGGGTTTAGGGTTTAGGGTTCAGGGTTTAGGGTTTCGGGTTTAAGGTTCTCCAACTCGAATCAACTGTAGGGCTCCTTATCATTGTATACCCATAGGCTCCATAGAAGTTCCTTTTTGGGATTACCTTACAGAATCCTAAATATAAACCCCAAAAGGAACTACCATGGAGCCTGTTTGTATGTAGTAATATATTTAATATACCCCAAAATCCCATTCAAGAACGTTGATGTTTCAGCGGATGCTGGGCTGTGACGTAGAGGCCTAATGATTCAACCAGGGTTTGTGGCTGTGGGGGCTGTATACGATACGACGATGCAGAAGCCAGGACATGTAGACAGTAACTAATTACTCTACAAGTTCTTTGTAGGCTCAAAAGCCTGAAGAGATGAAATAAGAATCTCAGTCAGCGTATTTTTGTATGGTATGCTCCCGAACTCCATGTTATAAGTTTCCGCGATTCAAAGCCACAGGCAACGGCCACACAATGCCCTCACTAGACCCTAAGCCTGAAGCACTAAAGCCTAAATCCAATGCCTTCCCTCCGACCATGGCCCACGCCAGTTGAAAACCCTCGGGAAGCAGTACTTTGCCGACGAGCAGGCACTCGAATTAACGATGTTTTGGATATATAAAGGCTTCTATAATTCGGAAATAGGGATAAGTGGTATTAATGGTTCTACAGGGATTTACCCTCATAAACGTTTCTATGAGTCATGCTTCGGGAGGGGCTATGAGAACGCCACGTGTTTTGTTCTCCCACGGTCTCGTTGGTATTTGCTGTTGTGGCTATCGGGCTTGGGTTAGGGCTCTAAAGTTTCTTTATTTAGTGTTCATAGTCTTCGGTGTTGTGTGATCTTGATGTGTGCTTCCAGGGGTAGGGCGCTCATCGGGTCCAAGTCCAACGTGTGAACTTCTGGACTTGGGCTTAGGGCTTCCATGCAAGCAGAAGCTACCACCCTAGGGTTTAGGTCGAAGAAGACAAGAATTCACACAAGGTTACACGGTTCAGACCCTAAACCCCCTAAACCCCTAAAAGGAGACCTCGTTGGATATTGCGGATGTGGCCTCTTTATGTAACCCTCGCTCCAGGCCTCCGGATTCTGGCAGTTACTTTTTATCCACATCCTATCCCTAAACCCCTAATTAAACCCGAAACCCCAGACACACCCTAAACCCCCAAAAAGAGTAGCTCTGGAATGGTAGACCCGAAACCCTAAGTTCCGACGCAAGAGCCAAGAGTGCCGCGGCAGCCCTTCTAAGTCAGGTAAATGTTGACTGACTCAGTGGAGTTAAGGGGGAATCTAAGAGGGTTTAGGGTTTAGTGAAACAGTCTAAGCATCATGCAGGGCTTTAACCAGATAGGAGCCACGAACCCGA